GACTCGTGGCCAGCCTAGGAGACAGGGTAGAACTCCTGCTGACTTGCGGTGGTCGGCCCAGCACGCACCACTGCGCCACTGGGTCGGTAAGGCGTTCTACTCCCGTCGAGAGTCACCGTCTTGGAGGCCCACAGGAGCGGGTCTCCCCTGTCGGTATCCACTGGGTGGCGGGGCATCTGGTTTGGCATTGACTCTCTTTAGTGTCTCCTTAGGGAGCTTAATTCCTGTTGGTTTTGTTCTCCTCCCCCCAAGGGACCCCTGACATCATCATTGACTACAAAGTCCTGGAGGTTTTCCCCAAAGGCCGCCTGATTCTCATTAAGTGCCATTCCCTGAATGTGCCCCCGCCTGTCACCTACACCCTCTGGGGGAGCCGGGATGTCGAGGTGGCCAAGAAGGTGGTGAGGACCGGCGACCCAGCCTCCTTCAGTATCAACATCACACTCAAGTCCCGGCCAGACCTGCTCACATACTCCTGCCAAGTGGCCCTCCCCTCGGGGACCAGGGCCACCAGTGCCAGGCTGCAGATGTACTGGGAGCTCTGGACCAGTGAGTGTGGGGGGGTGGGGGGAGGGTGTGCACTGGGGAATGGACTGACAGAGGGCAGGGCTGATATGCCCCTGGGAGTGGGGATAGGACAAGGTCATCCCGGGTCCCATAGAGTCTCGCACCAGGGGGCTGCCACCCCAGCTTCCACCACCCCCACCCAGGGCCAGGGGCCAGCAGGCGGTTGAGGGGGCTGAGAGAAACATGCAAAGGAACCAGAGGGCGGAAGTCACCTGATGGTGGGGGATAGAATAAGGGATCCGCTTAGCGCTGCTGACCGACCTCAGACCACAAACCTCCTGGTTCCTTATCTCATGTAATCTTCCACACCCAGTGGGTGGGGCCTGGAAGAGAAATGGCAAGGCAGTTATGAGAGTTTCCTGGGCCTCTTGACCTACAAGTAGCAAAGGCTGCTTTCCACTCCTGCTCCTCCCCATCCCTCCTGGTGGGAGTTGGAAGGGCTGCCCAACCTGCAGTGGGTCTTTGCACCCAGGAGCCATGCCTGCCTGGCCCCAAGAACACAAGGAGAAGGCAGGAAGTCAAGGGATCAAATCCCTGCATTTCCTGCCCTTGGAGTCTCGGGTTAGTAAGACCACCACTCTGAGACTCAAGTTTCTTTACCCCCAAAAGGATAATAATAATAAAATAAAACAAAACAAAACAAAACTATCCAGCAAACCCACTGCTGCCCAGTTGATTTCGAATAGTGGTACAAAAACCCACCGGAGCCTATGGGGCGGAGGAGACCTGCCCCCAGAGGGATGCAGA